ACTCCTAGGGGAGCGATAAGAGTTTCCTACAATAAAAATAACTCCTATCAATGCCGCTGGGAGAGATGAGGGAGGAAGGAGAGGGGGCGAAACATTCATGGCCCCCCCCCCTTCCCCTGGATCCGTTAATGGTTCCATGATGATGCAAAGTGCCGATATGCCCGCAGCCAAACTGCACAGCAAAAAGATTCCCATCCCATTACACAGCGATTCTGCCGTCTATGTTTACAGCTCAGGGATGAAACACAGACAGATTACCAGGTCACTGCACATACAAGCTTGCTTATTTGCGAGATCTAAATGGCCGCTTCCACAGTGTTTTCACTAATTATCAAAATTCACTTACCTTATCAAATTTGTAATCGGATGAAAGTATTCGGGCAGCAATAATTGAGGCATCCTCGAAAGTTGGTGGTGTTCGACCGATATCGTTACACGAGAACAAAACTTGCTTAGAATAGTACTGTTGCATCGATGCTTTTGCTTTATCGCCAATTATTACAAGCTTATAATCGGCCCCATCCTTCTCCTTCAGCAATCGCCTGGCTTCCTGGAAAACAATCATTTTTTGGTGGGAGAAGTGGCTTCTATTTGGAAGTGGTCCAAGTGTCAACAGGAAGCAAGCGCTTCTTTCGAGAGTTGCTTACAAGCAAGCTGATGATGAGTTTGACGCCCTGGGTATACTTCTTCATCGAAAGGGACGAACGAATCGTGGATGGACTGGGAATTTTTTCGATGGTGAAGTTAAAAAAATAATGTTATTGTTGCATCATGACTCCCTCCTAAGGACGCGAAAGCGGCCTATATAAGGCTGCCGTATTTGTGCTGTAGAGCAGTGACGATCCAGAGGAGTGTGTCGATCCAGTGGAGTGTCGATCCATTGTAGCGTTGTGGTATTGTGGGTGACCTACGAAGGGCGAGGACCCCGCTGCTACCCCAAATTATCGCCGAGGAGCCGACAACCCGACTCGATACCCCGGAGTACCGGCCAATCGAAGGAGCACCCGCGCCAGCCAGAAAGCCAACATTACAAATAATTGGCAGAATTTGAAGATTTTAAAAGACAGAAATACGTGGGAAGCCAAGTCACGGATATCACCCCTACACACGGCATGGAATATGAAAAATCCAAGTTCAAAATTTTGATCTAGTACTGGCTAGAAGAGGGCATAGAAAACATGGGGGTTGGGTCTATGAAGTAAAAAATAGAGGAATAGAAGAATTTCACTTGAATGTCATGTGTTTGAAGACATTTTATAACTTAGTCTTTGTTTCATCCTTTATCTGTATACACAGACCGAACAGTGCATGCGAGTAGGAGTGGGAATCATCAGTACAGCCTCCTGCCCGCCATGTTTTGAATAGTCATGTGTCTAATTTGCAGGGCAGATGACAGGAAGAAATAGATATGAGTGAAGGAGCAAACAAAGTAAGGAAGGAAGGAAAGAAGAGAAGTTAAAGCGTGAAGGAACAAACGTAAAGGAAAGAAAGCAGGGAACTTGAATACGGACAACATTATATTTAATTATTAGAAAGAGTCGTTTACGAGAACAGACTGCTCACTAGGCGTTTAATTTCTGAATCATCACGGAAGATGAATTTGTCTGAATAGTTTCAGTCAAACCACTGGCAAATTCTTTGGAAACAATATCGGGAGGAGCGAGGGAAAGAAGTCGATGGAGGTTGATGTGGGAAGTGAGCGCATAAAAAAACCCGATGAGACTGATTTTACCTGCCATTGCTGACTAATCCAAAATAGAAGAATGGTAGGATTTCAGTTGAATGTCATGTGTATGAAGATGCATTTTATGACACAGTCTCTGTGTGTTTCATCCCTTAGCTGTGTGAACACAGACCGAACTGCGCAGAAGCGGGAATCATCAGTACAGCCTCTTACCCAAAAATCATTGAAATATTGAAATATTCTTATTGGGATGTTTCTGCACATTGGGCACACTTGTAAAGATTTTGGAGAAGAGATGTGGTGAACTATAATCTAACAGTATCCAACCGGTATGACAACAAGCAAAGAGCCAGGCGACTTCCTCATTTATGAAGCTGATGCTTAGGTAAAGCTGAGGGATCAAACTGTTGATGCTTATGTAAAGCTTCCGCATTGATGAAATTGAAAAATTATCAAAAAAAAAAATTTAACCCTAGCAATAGCAGAATGTACGGCACCACAAAGTCCTCGATCGGATGTAATTAGAACAAGTAGACGTGATTCTCTTGCACTTGGAGTTGCGACAACATTTTCTTCCTTCGGCTTATCAGATATTTCTTCAAAACCAACATTATTGTAAAATTGAAGGGCACCAACTCCATAAACTCGTGCACCCTGAAAATTTAACGTGAAATATCACTGCTTTCAACCAAATCTCCATAAAAAAGGGTCCAAAAAATCAGCTTCGCTAAAATGACCTCCTTTTTCATCGCTTGCAAGCTGGCCACCCAAAAAAAGCACCAAATATCGAGCGCCTCTTTAAGGAACCCGTAAAAAAGGACCACAAAGCATCATTTTTTTTGTAGGGCGCCACTTCAAGGAATTTCGGTAATATCATTGGCAAGCAGCTATTTAAGGAAAGTTATCCAAAAAAAAAAGTGGCCAGCACACAGAGTGCCGGTGTGAAGGTGCGTTTTTTGCACGATTCCCTGCAGGTTTTTGCCGCTAACGGCACTGTTTTTTCCGGCAGATGCTTCTAGCTAAAAGAATTGAGACCGACGGCCAGCTCTGTTACTTTGCAAAGCCTCTATTACTATATATATCATCACAGCAGAACGACCATTCAGAAAACCTGTATCACTTTGAGCGAACTGATTACTTCACCTTAAATAACCCTATGAAATACCAAAAAAAAAAAAGAAGTTAATAATGTTCAAAAGTGACATTATCAAGAAGGATTGTGCTGAACATTTGGCAAGAATGAAAGACAACAGATGGACAAAAGAGATTAACGAATGCTATCATCACGCTGCTAAGGAAAAAAAAACCAGAAATCTCCAATGCTGTAAAAGGGCAAGTCTGAACCATTACATGAAAATATTTGGACGGAAGAGTTCCAAGACACATGGGGAATGGAGAAGTTGCTAGCTGCATCAATGATAAGAAGAAACGCGACAATGAAACAACAACAGCTCAAAGTAAGACGTCGTACTGACGAGGTGCAATTGTAGTAATGGTAAGAAATGTATACGACTAAATGGACCGAAACATTTTTATGCGTTTTGTGCTGTGTAACAGCGTTACAAAACGCATATCGTCACGGGGTTGTCTGCGCGTGCGTGTGTGTGTTTGTGTGTGTGCCCCACATTTTGTCCCACACTTTCAACTCGAGAACCACAAGAGCTAGGCGGCTGAAATTTTGGTACAGTGTTCCCCTACAACGAGTGACGCGGCAAATTCAAAATTCAGCCTTCCCGTACCTGTGGGTAACAAATACGGCCTCGCGAAAGTTTTTTACGGGTAAATTAATATCTCAGGAACCACGGAGTTTAGGAGGCTGGAATTTCACAGTAATGACCCCCTGTCCACGCTCAACCTTGCCCATTCAAATTCAGTTTTTTCCGCACCCGCGGGTGACACCTACGGCTCCGTGAAATTTTTTTACGAGTAAATTAATATTTCAGTAAATTAATATCTCAGGAACCACGGAGTTTAGGAGGCTGGAATTTCAGAGTAATGACCCCCCTGTCCACGCACAATCTTGCCTATTCAAATTCAGCGTTCCCTCGCTGTTGAGTATCACCTACTGCCTTGTGAGAATT